TTTGATTGTACAACTAAATATAAATGAATTAGAAATATATACATTATTTACATAAATCATTCGGTAAATGGACATGAATATGGTTATCTACCCTTATAAAACGATGGCGAAACGACTGGTTTGTAAACTGTTTTTTGATTGATTCGTAGATTTTAGCTATAATCAAGGCTAGGGCAGATAATTTGAAATCGTGGAAACCCTATGGATTAACCCAGGGTATAGTGGAGTATAACGGAATGAGAACACTGGGGATAACGAGGATGACTTCATCCAAGCTGTATTAAACGGTGTCTGGATAAAACCAGACTTTTATGAAAATAACGTGTGTTTGAAATTTACCTTTCGTTATCAAGTACTGTCTGTATAGAACTCTAAAGGAACGGCAATAGATTATCAGGTCACCAAACGAAAAAAAATGACCTGAAAACTTAAAAGGGCTAAGTGTCCTGATAAGCTGAAATTTTGAGACAAGTATAGGCGTACGGGCTCGATGACAGTAAGAAGGGTGGGGTGGAGGGGCAGAACTCGAAATGCCCGAAAAAATTCGGGGGGGGGGGCCGCTAACGCGTTTTCCTGCTATTCCAGCCCGTGCATGCAGCAACTTCAAAGTGGTCTAGTAAGCCTAATTTAGGTAGCTGATTAGAACTCCAATCGGGAGAAAATTTTGAAAATTTAACTGCCGCAAACGGGTATTCCTGTTATTCCACACTGAAAAAAAAACTTGTGTTGGATCTCAACACAAGTACTTGTGTGAAAATTATTCTACACAAGTTATGTGTTGTTTTGCATTGCATTAACACAAACTTGTGTTCTTTTTAATGCATTAACACAAATCTTGTGGTTTTTCCATATAATTAACACAAGTAATGTGTACCGTCAACAAATATTATTTTTTTTTAAATTTGAACTCCATACAAAGTCTTAATCCGGGGGTCCACAAGTAAGAGAAAGGTATTTTTTACTCAGACAATATAGCCAGACAGACTTGAATGCTAACTGGTGTTAAGATGTCTGTAGTTAAAATTAAGTTGGGCCCAATAAACTGGTAGATCAAAGGCCTGTTGAGCGCTCATGCCCAGTGTGATTTTAACAACTGACTCCAAATGCGTTGACAAGAAAATAAGTAAAACTGTTATTGAATGTGATTGGTTGATAAAATCAACGTACTATAGGCTACATTTTGTCTGCGATATCATCTCGGTGGAAGCGGACATTAAATGAAGTGATTTCACACAATTAATTTAACATTTAACAACGTGCTGAAATGATTTTGGAGCAGTGATATGTTTGACAAATGTAAGCTAATGGTCACATAGAATACAAGACCGCAGGTTTGTGAATATTTATATAAAAAAAATAATACCATGTATGTAATTTAGCATCGATATTGTTTCTCTGTATAATATTAGTATTTCGTTTCCTTAAAAAAACCTCCAACAATTTAAACCGGAAGTTCATGTTTATAATATGGCGCGGTCAGGAAAAAAATTTCGGCATGTTATTATCAAATCTGTTCAATTTTTCTGAAATCATGCTTAATTAACATTAGTTGTTCGGCGCTACGATGTTGTTCAGATACTTACATTACAGAATCACATTATGATTAAAGCAGAAACGGTTCGACTTGAACCAGCAGGTAAGAATCTGTTTTGAAATTATATCTTGGGAGGTTGGATTGGCGTTGGAGACCCGATTGGCGGCCATTTTGATTCTTGTTTCATGATTTTTTTTTATATTATAACGATTTTGCCAAGAGTAGACATAAACGCGGGCACAGACTAGAAAAAAATCTTTTTACACTTTTGTGTTAGTTGAATTGTAATCTAATTTATGTTTTAAAAAACAACCTTAAATCAAATGAGCAGACGGAAGATATGGACGAACAACAAGAAGAAGTTATGGAGGTCCCAACAACTGAACCTATGGAAGTAAAAGAATCGTTTACAGCCGAAACCCGATACGATGTGCCAGTTCCGGTTATGGAGTCCTCCATCTCAGACGATGCCGACGTCAGTGTCTTCTGCGACGAAGAACCCGTAGTGGTGTATCACTATAAACCTCAGAATGCCTCGTTCGGCATTTCTGTCCAAACGAGGCAAAAACGTGTCAAAATTTTTGCCCCGATTTTGCCTCGTTGTAACGAGGTAAAAAAAAATACCTCGTTTCTCTGAAGTTCCAAAACTTGTTTTTTTTTTAAATTGCCCTGTTTTTGGAACGAGGTATTTTGTTTATAACGAGGCTGGGTAAAATTGCCTCGTTTACTAAACGAGGTATTTTATCCAAGATAATTATTAGCGGTATTTGCTGTCAACAAATAGAGCCATACAAATAATGTTCGGACCATCATGTGACCAATTGCAGATCTACAAATTAGATTATTTATTTGGGACATGATATTGTTCATAGTTATGGCTTACTACACTGGAGTTCTATTATGTATAATAAACGCTTCCCGAGCAAAACAAAACATAACAATGTCACGTGACAATATTACATATGGCGGATACAAGCGTTCTTTGATTACATGCTGTTTGGTTTGATTATTAAATAATACGGCAATCTGTATATATGGGAAAAGGAGAATGAATTTCCCCAAATCCAAAACTAGATGACTGGAATATTTATTGAATGGAAAGTAAATATTTTATAAACAAAAATATTCGGATTTGCAGTATCCTAGCTTGGATGGATATGTGATTTGAATCTCGAACTCAGTGTTTTATACATTTTATTATAAATCTACAATTTAAAACAGTACAATAACATTGTGATTTGACGCTCTACAAATCACTAAGAGTATAACAATTGCTTGTTGAAAAAGCGTTAATAATATGTTTTTTTCCATTTATTATTTTTTAAAAATATATTCAAAAAGAATGCGTCTTTTACAGATTTCAATATAACCACAAATGGTTGATTGTTTTAATGCTAAGATAAGTATTAATGGTTTGTATTTGAAAATCAAATTATATAAGCGAAAAATAGTAAGATACATTATGTATGTCTTAAAACACGCCCTTCTCAGTTACTACTTCGGCGAATATCATTTGATAATTTAGATGATCAGAATTAAACACCGTTTTGCTATGTTATTATTTTTTTATGATTGGGTGGGGGTATACTTAATTAGGGGATTGGATTGAAAGATTATAGCTACCATCTTATGGAGACATAATGTGTGGTGCATTTACGGTCTTATAAAGCTCTATTCTTACATAAAGAATTCTTGATTCGCACGGAAGTGTTTTAGCCGTGATCATTTTAAGTCATGCTTATGCCAAGATCTGTGTAAGTGTTAATTTAACTAGATATCAGAAAAGTACCACGTTTTCATAAATGTACTCTTTAGATAAATTGTACAATATTTATCAGTTCACTAGTTACAATAAAATCATGCATTATAGCTATTTTTATTTATTTATCCATGGTGCTTCAAATTCAATTTAGGGTGCCTCAACATATTTAAAAATATGTTTTAAAGCTTTAGGTCATTTTATTATATCTTTCTACCATAAATAATAGCCCGAATTTAGGTATACCAAAAGTTAAAGAAATATAAACAGTTTTTGAGTCATTCAGATATGACTGCCAAAATTGTCACCAACACACATGTCGTGTTTAGGCTAAAATCTAACCAGAAAAGTATTGTCAATACATAGTAAAATATATATTGCATTAATCAATTCCATTTCGCAAATGGTTTGTCTTAAACTCGTCATTTGTGTTCATGGGCATCAGGGTCGAGATGGCAACGTTATATGTTTTATTCGTCTAATTTACTATAAAACATCATTCGGTTTGCCTCACGGGTTAACGGCATATTAATAGCTTTATTCACTGAGATGGTTCCTTTACTTATAGTTTATTTTTCGAATTGCTTTTTGTATTTATTTAAATGGAAATATTAACAACATTCTATAAGTCAATCCACGAACATACCCAATTTCAATATTTGCGTGTTGACCTTTAACATCACACTTAGATCCTGTACGCTTTGTGTCTTACAGTCAATACATGTCATGAAGAACTCTTTAGAAATAATTTCGTTTATAATACTTTACTCGTTTCTATTGAGTTGTTTAGCAGAAGTAACCCATGACAACAATATGTTGAGACGACTACGTTACAGAATAGGACGATTCAATGTTACCAACCCTTTCACAATATTTGAATGAAATATCTCACACAGGGTGTTAATCTGTTTTCAGTTTCTATTCCAATTCAATAAAACATTTAAAACATTTAATACATGTCTTGGCTTGATTCATTATTTACAATTTAATACGTTAATCGTGTATTTTAAATAATACAGTTCAAGAGATCAAAACATTTCCGAATTTATACATTCAACATTACACGTAGACCTAAATGTATTTTTCAAATACGTGTATAAACATTTATATGAAATATATTATAAACAGATATGCTATGACCAGAGTTGCCATTATCTTTATTATTCGACTGGAAAATTCCTGTCATTCACTCTGTCGTTCGACTGATCCATCATTCACGTTGTCATTTCCGAGTCTGAAATTTGGGGTATAGGGGTAGCTCGGACCGGGGAGTAACATAGGCCAGGTGGCGTTAGTCTACCACTTCCGGTTTCGGAGTTATGAACCCCGAGCGAAGCCGGGCATTCTTCTAGTATATAAATAAATATATAAATAAATCATCTTCATGGTCATCATCATCGTCATCATCATCGTCATCATCACTATTTAACACCAATCATCGTCGCCTGACAATTACCTTATCTATTCAAAGCGCTTGTTTAGTTTTAAATACTTGTGAACTTTACTAAAACTCACTTTGTTGAACGGGTTACTTTCGTTGGTATCGCCATATAGGAACGCTTTTGTAATTATGGATTTAAATGGGAGGGTATTTAATGTTGAGATACGCTGAGACGAATAATTTGGGCAGTGCAGAAAATAATGGTCGCTGTCTTTTTGAGTATGACCACAACTGCATGTCGGGTTATGTGAAATATGCATTACAAATCTATGGAAGTTTAGAGCACTTTTACAATTACGAAGTCTGGAATGTATAATCTGAAATTTACGTTCTCCATAGTAACATCTTACTGACATCAATAAATACAAAAATATGACTAAGTCGAAAGTCAACAAGACGGTATACAAGCCAAAATGCAAGTCGAAAATAAGAAATTAGGAAAAAAACGAGGGGCGCTATTATCGCAGTGTATTATTTCTTGATTTCCTATTTTCGAGTCGATTTTGGCTTGTATAGCGTTGCTGTCGCCTCACATTTTGTCGTAACTGCTACTTTTCGACTTTCGTGTTTTGGAGGGCGAAAAGTAGAAATTAAGAATGGTAGGCTTCTATAGTTAGGCGTTTGTATATATGACTGTATACTTGACACATGTACGACCTGAATGGCTGAATGGCCGGTAACCAAATATGTTATTGTGAGTGTTAAACGACATCGTAATTATTTTATATTTTGCAAAAAAAACAAACAACAAAAAACAAAACAAAAAAACACAAGCCGTGATTGCCATTACTACAATACGGATTACTAAATATACTTTGTGTTCAATTTTATATTTTAATACTGAAGACAGGGCCGGACTATAAATGAACAAGGCGGATCCTTTTGGCTTATATTGAGTAATTATTGCAACGTGTTACAGTTGAAAGTTCCAAAGCATTTTCACATTCCATGTCCGATAAATTTAATCATCATGCAACTACTGATTGGTGGGTCGTCGAAACATTTAGATGCATACATCACAGCAATAGAGAAATAGGTCAAATATGGCGACAATGATCAACTTGCTCTTCTTCTACTAAATTAAAGATTCGTGTGGAGATTCTGTCGATATAATCATATATTTATATCTGCTCTTTCTTAAAATGGAGACGGTTAGTAAAATGGTCTTCTTTACGTCCTAAATATCAGTATGACCTTAGTGAATACCGCACGATTACGATCCGTTCCAGACTGATAACTTTACGTTCCTAAATATCAGTCTGACCGTAGTGAATACCGTACGATTACGATCCGTTCCAAACTGATACCTTAATTATAGGCTAATTATAGAGCCTTCAATTTCAAACACATTTTTATTATCATATGCTCTTATTTTTTTTTCATCATTATATGATTAACATTTTCTAAACTTTACGATTTTCAATTTTTTTTTTTAAATAATAGTCCATCTCCGAGACAACAAAAACGTAAATAAATGGAAGATAAAAGCAAGAAAGACAACCCTAATAAAGGAGTCAGGACTAAGACTAGTAATTATTTCCCCGTATTTCATGATTGTCGAATGTAGTGCGAGTTATAAATAGACAATTTTTCCCTTAATTTTTTTCTACCCTCTTCCTGCATTTTTGGGTTGACTTTTTGGTCTAGATTGGAGAAAAGGGATCAAATTTGCAATTTCATAGCAGTTTTGGGTAATACTGATGATATTACAGCGGAGGGATAGGGGGTGTAAAGTGTCTTTCTGCAGAGCAATCAGTGTGTCGGAAGTGAGATTTTCACCCCTGTCAACTTCAAATCCGTGTAGCAAAAAATCTAAACGGTCAACCCCCTACAAAATTATGATGAGGAGATTGCCAAATGTTGTCCCCATTGTGCCTATAAAGATTGGAACCAACGGAATGTTGAGCAAAAAGCTACAGCCTGTGATGTTACAGTCATTTAACATTGAAGTCAATGGGCAAATAATTGCTAGTCTGACTCCTGATGATATAAAGAAGCATGGCCGACTCGGGATGTTGATATTTTTTCAACGGCTTATTTCCTGAAGTTTTGAATGGAAAGTGTCAGAGATGGTAAGAATACTGCTTTTTTATTGCCCAGCAGTAAGTTTTTTGACTATTTGGTATCAAAATAGCCATGATTGGGGGTATCCGTTGGTTGAGTGTGAATTTTGGGTTGTAAATGTGTAACATTTTGTTCACAATGATATCAAAACATGGTTAGGTCTAAATATTAAGGCCAACTCAACACCAGATTTGGTCTAAAGTCACGAGATGTAAACAAGACTGACCCTAACCCTAACCCAAGACCCAGTCCTTACCCTAACCCTAACCCACAATCTTGTCAAAAAGCATGTAGCCTAGGCCTAAGCCAAGACCTAGTTCTGACCCTAGCCCAAACCCACAATTGTGTCAAAAAATCATGTGCCCTAACCCTATTTACATGTTGTGACCTTGAACCAAGTCTGCAGTTGGCCTTAACATTTAGACCTAACATGTTTTTGACATCATACAATGAAATGTTAACATGTACACTCCAAAATGCACACCTGTGTGACTTTTGACCAAGCATGCAGTTGGCCTTAATATTTAGACCGAACCTCAAAACATGGCATCTACCTTTGAGATTGGCTTAGACTTATGTGACACTCAAGGTTTACTTTTTTACTGATTGTTAACTGGTTTCTTTTTGGAGGGCCAGTGATGGGCTGTTCGCGAGAAATAAAGAGGTTTATTTCTATTTCCAGTTGAAACCATATTTTTTTCTTATTTTCTCACTGTTTTTTATTGCATATTTATCCCCAGCCTCCTATCATTTCAGGTGCCAGGGCAATGTTTCATAGAGTGGAATGATTGACCTCAACACAAGTATTAAAAAAAAAGAAGCAAAACAGGTGAGATAAATGTGCATTTCATACACTTTAAGAAGTACATCCAACCTCATCCCCACTTCTGCTGACTAATAGTAATGGGCTGGAAATTTGGTACTGCACAGGCCTGTCTTCTCCCCTTGACATTTAACTGAATGACAGAATTCCACATTTTGACCATTTTCTGGATGTCAATGACCATTTCCCTGGATAGTATTCGCCCCAGAATTCTCATTCTCATCCAAATTTAACATTTCAGGTCTACATCTCAAAACCTGATCTCTTCCTGGACTGGCTTTAGGAGAACGATGATGCATATCAATTTCATCCCTGATCTCTATGACACCTGTGGTGGAAGTGGAGGGCAAATCGTAATCAGTTTGGGTTCCAGCCCCGAGGACCTCTGTAAACTTTGCTTTTTGGTGATGACTTAATTTCCGAGCTTGAAAAGGACGCTTGTGTGTTTATCATGGCCTCTCATATTGGACGATAACATTAATGGCTTGTGTGTTGATCGACGATTGTGCATATCTCTTGGTCAGGAAAGTTGTAGGCACCATCGCCATTGTAAATCATTTGACAGGCCCGAGTGAACCTATGATTGGTCAGCAATGTATCAGATTCCATACCGGGGGGTGGGGATGAAAAAACTGTTGTAGTGTTACATAATCAGATTATTTCAACTTACTTATCCTGTGGAAATACAGCTATATAGGAGATATTTTGAAATTCATAGGCACTGCATGTTTCAACATTTTAGATTTGACCACAATCTGGCACTTGAAACTATGTTAACAGAGAAAAACTGTGTGGTTTTCGATGAAAGTGTTAAAAGTCTAATATTGCATCATGATTACTGTTTTAAAGTATTTTCGTGTTTGATTTATATTGAATTCATCTCATCTTTTTGAAGAATGCATTTATGTTCAAAAATAAAAATGTTCTGTGGAATTCAAAATTCATGTGCTTTTAAATTATCATATTCCAAACTGGGGGGTAGGGATGAAAAAGCTGTTGTAGTGTTACATAATCAGATTATTTCAACTTACTTATCCTATGGAAATACAGCTATATAGGAGATATTTTAAAATTGATAGGCTCTGCATGTTTCAACATTTTAGATTTGACCACAATTTGGCACTTGAAACTACGTTAACAGAGAAAAACTGTGTGGTTTTCGATGAAAGTGTTAAAAAGTCTAATATTGCATCATAATTACTGTTTTAAAGTATTTTCGTGTTTGATTTATATTGAATTGTATTTAGAAAACGGAGGAAACCGAATGACCCAGCGAAAAAACTCAAGAGATTGGACAGGCGACTCTACTCCTTGAAATTGAAACCATGCCACTTAACACAATGACAGACCCTGTGATTTCATGCGCATGCATTACCTACTAGACCATTCCCCCCAGCCCCACCCCATATCGAATAAAAGTATGACTCATTTCAAATATGATATTTACATATAAAGAAAGTAGAGAGACTTCAATCTTACTAGAAAAATACTAGATTACCTGAAATGAAATGGGGTTTAAAGACAACGTCCTACTGGTCAGCTCCGACTGGTCTAATGCATTGTGCTAAGTGAAAATGTTTGTCTGGGCAGCGACACTATGGCCTACTCTCATACCGAATTCAAACTGCCAAGAGAACTATTATGTGTACGCCAATGTGTACATTGGATCTCAGGGGAAACCACTCTGCAAAATCAAGATGAGCTTTCTCGGTCAACCCCAAGAGATAACCTGTGGCCTCCATGCTGGTGTGCCAGCACCTAATTTACTCAGTCACCATGGCCGTCTTCTAATTACTGCGACAGTGAAACCATGTGACAAACAAGGATTATTAAGATAGACTTTTACGGCTTGGTAGTTCCTTGGGATTAAAACTTTTGATACATATAGATACATTAGTTTCAATTTCATATCACACAGTTTGTATATATGGTAAGGTAGCTTTAATCGTAAATTACATATCATGTATTTATTTTTTCAGTTTCAATATTGGATGTATATGCAAATCACCCAGAAAAAGATCATGTAATAACAAAAGAAATTATAAAAGAAAAAAAGGAAGAAGAAATGGCTGGAAAAAATGATGATAGAGCAGCTTTTTCTTGGTGGGTAACTATTCAATTCTAATAGAAAAGATTGTTATGCTATTTTGAAATCTAAAATTCAGTTTAGTATAGTAAAACTGTACACGTCATGTATGAGCAGAGACAGAATCTTAGTTATATGTAGATATCACTGTCTCATCTGTGGCAAAGCAAACCAACACATGAAACAAAACAAATGTAATTAAAGTAACATTTTTTTAATTAATCAAAACTGTCTAGTCAATTTAAGCCAACTAATACATTGCCATTTTTTTTTCAGTTACCCACCTCGGAAGATCAAGTTGGAAAGGGCTATTGATATTGTGGAGACGTTTTCTCACAGATCTTGCTTATCAGACAAAGACTATGTAAGTACCATGCATATTTGCTTTTTAAATCAGGAACTGGTTCTATACACTTGGTGGGGGGGTTGGATGGACGTTAAACCCCATTTCTCTCTCTCTCTCTCCTAAATATTGAGATTTTTGTTTACTTTTAAACTGCATATATTCAAGGTATCAGGAGCTTTTTATGGCTCCCGTACAATTTTATAAACATGAAGGACTGTACCTTTTGAATATTAAGCCATCAAATTATTTTATAATTTTGAAAATGAAATGAAATGGGGTTTAACATCCTACTGTTTTGCTCATAAATTGGGCTAATGAAGACGGGCATACGCCATACAGTGTGCTATGAAGGGAATTTTGCCCGGGCAGCGGCGCTACAGCCTACTCTTATATCGAATTCCAATTGCCAAGGAATCTTTTATGTGCACGCCAATGTGTACGCGGGACCTCGGTTTTTCGTCCCATCCGAACGACTAGACAGCTGTCCTTGTCAGGTCCTCCGTCCCGTATCACTGACAAGGGGAAAACACGCAAAATGTAAGTAACATATATATTTGTATTTTTAATCAGGAAGTACTTCTATACACTTGCTTGGTAATCTAGTTATTCTTCTTGGGGCAATGCCTAGGACTCTGCTGTTTCAAGTACTTGGCATGCTTGATTTTTGCCAATCACATCCATTGATTTCCTTCAAGTTGCGATAGGCCCTACATGTATGTGTATTTTTACAGTAAATAGCAGTAAAATAATGATGGACAGTATTTTACTTTCAAATAGATTTCAGTAGATTATAAAGGGTAATATCCAATTTGTTGTCAATGGAAATAAAATAAGAATGGGTCCAAAAATAATTAGACATTACGCAAAGTTGAAACCAAATAGAGACTCGGTCTTGATGTGGCAAAATAAATTGTTTATTTAAACGTTGTGAACCATAGGAAGTATTCTTATCTCCTACTTTTTATTTTTTAGGCTGGAACACCATTGAAAGAGTATTTGCTGTATGATAACAACAAGAAAACCCAAGCATCAATTTATTTTATACTTCTGGGAAAGAATGCATTTGACCCAATTTTTAAATATTTATTTTTTGTTATTAATGTTAAATTTTCTTCCAAAACACAATTAGATTTTAATTCTCTTCAGAAATGTATGTATAATATAGCAAGTAAAGTGGCATATAAATCACTTAGAATTTGGTCAGAAATCATAAAGTATTTAATAGGCATTACTAGAAACCAAATGTAGATCAAATACACCCAGAATTACAAAAAACCTTGACCTACATAAAGGTGACTTCCCCTTGCTTATGAAATGAAATACGGTTTAGTATCCTACTTTTCTGTGTTCTTAGAGTGATTCTGCCCTACACCCTACTCTTATATCAAATATTTCAACTGTCAAGGGTTCTTTAACGGGAACCCGGGGGGGGGGGGCAATGATTAACACGCACACATTTGATCAGGAAGTCTGTCATTGAGTCAAATAATTCAATTGTCAAGGCTTCTTCTAAGTGAACGCAGTGGGGATGGTTTCGATTCCGGGAATGGGGGAGGGGGTGGTGGATGGCCGAATGGTAAGCATGTGCGTGCGGTATCATACGGCCTGTCATTGAGTCAACTGGCATGGTTTCGAATCCCCGGTTGTACGTGACAAGGAGTAGGGTCGCCTGTCCAATCTTGTGGGTTTTCTACGGGACCTACGGTTTCCTCCCACTGCTAAAGACCCCTATGCGCAACGAATTATTAAAATAAAATTAAACCATATGTTAATCCCGAAATGACCTAGTTTGTGTCAAGTGGACGTTAAACCCCATTTCTCTCTCTCTCTCTCTTTCGATTCCGGGCTTGTACCCAATTATCCCTTGCCATATCCAAGACTACTGACAAGTGGGAACTATGCCGGAAAATCCAGTTGAAATTTCTCGGCCAACACCTTATACTCACTGAACCACTGTGGCTTATGACTTGTGATTGTATATAAATTTTTTGTACATATGATATTTTTTTATTTCAATCCTGTAATCTTGATGCTTTGCTTCTTTTATTTACAAAATATTCATTTTGTTTGGGTTTTTTTAATGAGGAAAAGGTTTTACATCATTTTATTACTCCTGCAAAATAGTGCATTTTTCTTTTGTTAGTTTTCTGTGTATATTAGTTATTTCTATATGTCTCACAAATCACTTGTAGTGTGATTTTGTAGCACTTTTCAGTTTTTGAAATTGTTTCAATTTAGTGCATAATTAATCTTAGTGCTTGGTTTGGATGTTATTAAATTTAGATATTATTTGAATTATATATTTTGGAGTATGGGGTAGGGATACTGTGTACATATCTTTATATTCTCAGTTCTTGTTTTGGGGTAAAGAACAATTTATATAGCTATTTTATATTTTGTGATGGGTAAAGTGGGGCGTGTGTGTGAGTGTGTGGGGGGGGGAGGGGTCATTATATATAACACAATATAATTAGTATTAGAATTCTCTGTTTTTCTGTTAACATTTCAAATATCTATTTAGTTTTGATGTATTAATTTACTTTTTCCTATGATTTTATGAATAAATAATAATCTTACAAAAACAAAAACAAATTTTGTTTCCTTCTTTTATCAAACTTTACAGGTCTAACAGAGCAAAGAGATAGGTCCTGCATAAAAAGGTTGCTATACTGTATATAAATTGGGGAAAAACACAACACAAGTTTTTGTGGATGGTTATACACAAGTTTGTATGAAACCACACAAGTTTCAGAAATTTCAACACAAGTTTCAGAAATTTCAACACAAGTTTCAGAAATTTCAACACAAGTTTCAAAAATTTCAACACAAGTTTCAAAAATTTCAACACAAGTATTGTGTAGATTTTCACACAAGTTTCAACACAAGTTTGTGTTGTTTGATAAATTTTAACACAAGTTTTGTGTTGTTTCAACATTTAACACAAGTTTTGTGTTGTTTCAACACAAGTTTGTGTTGTTAAATAGAGACACCTTACTTGTGTTGAAAACAACACAAATTTGTGTTGTTTCAACACAAGGTCTTTTTCAGTGCAGGCCTTGAATACAGCAACTTCAATGTGGTCCAATATAGCCTACCTTAGGTGGCTGACCCGAATCCCAAATCCTGGAGAAAACTTTGAAGATGTAACCGCCGTAAATGCGTTTTTCTGCTATTCTAGCCTATGAGTTAAGCAACTCCAAAGTTGTATAATGGTTTTGTAACAGAAATCCCAATCAGTGCCGACCTGAATTCCAACCATCCAATCAGACTGTTGCAGCTGCCTTCACAAATAAAGGATGCCCGAAAATGTCGCATAAAGTAGAGTGACTCCAGACAAAATGTTTTAATCCAGTACAGTACAATTCAGTACAAATTCGTGGTATTCAATTAAAAATAAAAGTAAAATTAGTGTTTTA